TTCTTCTTCTTCTTCTTCTTCTTCTTCTTCTTCTTCTTCTTCTTCTTTTTTTGAGATAAGGTTTCTATATGTAGCTCTGGCTGTCCTGGAACTTGCTCTACAGATCAGGCTGATGTTGAGCTGACAGAGATCTACATGCCTCTGCCTCCCAAAGTGCGGGGATTAAAGGAGTGAGCCAGCACGCCCAGCTGACAGATCTTTTAGTAACCGATTGGAACTCAGGTATTCCAGTATGAATAAAAAGATATCTTTGTTTGTTTTTTGGTTTTTCGAGACAGGCTTTCTCTGTGTAGCCCTGGCTGTCTTGGAACTCACTCTGTAGACCAGGCTAGCCTCGAACTCTCAAACTCAGAAATCCACCTGCCTCTGCCTCCCAAGTGCAGGGATTAAAGGCATGTGCCACCACCGCCCGGCATTTGTTTGTTTTTTCAAGACAGAGTTTCTCTGTGTAGCTCTGGCTGTCCTATTTTGTAGACCAGGCTAGCCTGGAGCTTATGATAGATCCCCCTGCCTCTGCCTCCAGGGTGCTAGGACTAAGAAATGTCTTTTTAATCTGCAGAAGAAAATAATTACATTCCCAACACAGCTGCAAGCTAGGACACTATCTCTCCATGAGTCCTCATACTGTGTGTTTTTTTTTTAATTGCCAGTCATAAATAATTATGTGATGATAACTCAAATAATCAGTCATTATGGGGAAGGGACAGTTAAGAGTTACAAACATCTGCATACAGAAAGGGAGAGGAGACCAAAGATGTGTAAACCGACTGCATCACTCACCCACAAACTACAGTTCTTCTTTTCAAGCAGTTGCAAGCTTGTTTGCCACGATTCCTGGAACCAGTTTTAGTTGTAGGCAGTTTTTGCACAACACCCTTAGTCATTTTATTTTGCTTTTGAGACAGGGTATCACTCTGCATTCCTGGCTTGCCCGGAACTTGTTATGTAGACCAGGTTGACCTTAAACTCAAGATCTGCCTGCGTATGCATCCCTGGTGCTGCGATTTAGGGAACATTCCACCATGTCCGGCTCAAACCCCAGTCTATTTTTTTAAAGTTGACCTCCAGAGATGGACTGTGCAGCCTGTGCCTGTAATTCTAGCACTTAGGAGAATCAGGAGTTCAAAGCCAGCGTCAACTACATACGGAGCTTGAGGTAGGAGTTACATGAAATAGTCTCATATTATTATCCTCGCGAGCGCGCGAACACACACGACACACGAAGGGGGCAGGAGCCCAAGCTGGCCTCCACCTCCAATATTTGTTTTCCTTTTAAACAAACAGCAAAATCCAATCCTACACTGTCACTCAGGTTGTTTGTAACAAAAAGGGGATGGTGTGCCCACCATGTCCCACCTAAAGTATCTTGTTTTTTTCAACCTTTGGGAACCGGTACTTAGTTCAGGGGAAGGATTAGCTCCGGCTGCAGCGGCAGAGGTAGAGGCCCGGCTGGGTGCTGCAGCAGGAGACGCCCGGGATTGTCACGATAGCCGCTGGCTCTGACCGGCCTCTGGCCGAGCTTCACCACCCAGCCCCGGGGTCCCGGCAGCGGGCACCTACCTCCTGCCAAGAAGGAACGCAGCCAGTAGAAGTCCCGGCGCGAAGTCGGGCCCCCGCTCCCCGCCGCCTGCGGCACGGCGGGTGCAGGCTCGGCCGCCGCCAGGGCCGCCGCGGCCGCCAGGGCCGCCATCGGGACCTGCGCCACGTCCCGAGCTTCTGCTGCCAACTTACAAAACACTGGGCAGCACCATGACTGGAGCCGGCTCTGACAGGAGCCCAGCCGCCGCGCGGGCGGGGCCAGATGATGCCCATGGCGCGGCGGCGCGGAATGATGACGCACACGGCCGCCGCCCGGTCCCGGCCAAGAGAGCAAGGCGGAAGTGGGCGTCACCCAGGGGGTCTGGCATGCTCAGGGTCCTGATGTTTTTGCAGAAGGTTTGCGGAAGCCTCTTTAACCTAAAGAGTTAGCGCAGGCTTGCAGTCTCGGCACGCGCGAGCCTGATGCAGCACAATGGAGATCAAGGCCCGCTTGAGCTACGTAGTGAAGCTCATGCCTTGTAAATCCCGGCACTCAGGATTCTGAAACAGGGGGATCGCCTCCAGATGAAGACCAGCTTGGATATCATAGTGAGTTCCGGACAAGCCCGGAGCTGCAGAGAGACTGTGTCAAAATAAAAGCTAGGCAAGCTAGCTGGCTCAACGAGTGAAGGCACTTGCCACTAGGCTGGACGACCTGAGTTATCTCCAGACCTGGCCTAGTTGAAGGAGACAGTCGATTCCCACAAGTTATTCTTAGACCTCCATACGTGCACCTTGGCAGCGCGCGTACACACACACACGCACTATAATAAATGTTGAGTGCTGGAGAGATGGCTCAGCAGATAAGAGCACTCTTGTTCTTGCAGAACAAGACCTGTGTGAGTGACCTTGGTATTAACACAAGCAGCTCAGCCTTATCTTTCTGATCCATTTCCCGTCTTCTACTAGTCATATCTCAGTCCATGTCACACACAATAAATTCTTCTTGAACCTGCTGCTTTCACAGACTCTCTTTTAATTTTTTCCCCTTTTCTCCTTCTTCCTCTCTCTCTGTCTCTCTCGGGACTCACTATGAAGACTTGGCTGGTTTGGAGGTTCTAGCAGGGTGACACAGCTATTCTCGAACCCTTTATCGAAGACCAGTCTTCCTCTCTTAGGGGAAAGTCATCCTCTTTGAGCAAATAGGCATGCAGCTCTGGAAGGCATGTACATGGAGTGGGAATCGGGGAGGAAACACTCACATAGCCAACAAGATCTACTTGGTGATCAGTGGGGTGACAGATGGTGCAGCCGCATCCCGTTCACATCCATGACCTAGGAATAAATGCTACATATGGCCCAGGCTGGTCTCGAGCCTGAGATACTTCTGTCTCAACCCTGCATGTGCTAAGAGTACAGGACTTCATCACCACTCCTGGGACACTCTCTGTCCGTGTCTCTGTTCTTCCTCCTCCTCCTCCTCCTCCTCCTCCTCCTCCTCCTCCTCCTCCTCCTCCTCC